GCGTGCTGAGGGGGTGCCCTGGTCTTCCTGGTGGCTTCTCTCCAGGCCCTTTGTTTTCCTCCTCTTCCTACCTTCAGTAAGGCCCTCTTTGTCCTCAGGTGGAGACCCTGCTTCTGGGGTGGAAAGGTGGCTAGGGAAGGTGAGACGCCTTTTCTACACGAATGCCTGGCCGCCCCCGTGACAGCCGGTCTGTGCGAGCTGGAGCGGGCTTGGCACCTCTCCTGCTGGCACCGTGTGGGCTCAGTCACCCGCCGACTCTTGGGCTAAATCTGGTCTGCGCCCAGCGGTGGCCGGAAGAGTCACGGGGCCAGAAATAGAACTTCTAAACCCTTTCGTAAAGTGTGGAAACGGGAGGGGTGGGGGAACCAGAGAGACAAAGAGCGAGGCCGGGAATCAGATCAGCTGATGTGCGCGGCCCTTCTCCCTTCCCTTTATGTAAAGCCTTCCCCGTGGCAATGACCTGATGGGCTTAGGTGCAGGGCCACGGTGAGTTCTTAGTCCTTGTTTTGTCCTCAAAGATGATTTTCTTGAATCGACTGAGCTATTTTTGACAGTTGTCAAAAGAATGCCTGTTCTTTCGTTTCTCGAAGCAAATATGCTCCTCGTTAGCTCTCACAAGAGGTACAGTGGCCCTGTTTGTTGGCAAGAACGGAATTATGGGCTTATTTGAAAACTTCCAGAAAAATAAAAGATTATTGTGGTACAAAGTGAGACGTTGTCAATAGACTAAGATATTACTAACGTTTGTCCAGTGCCTTGGGGATGACGGGGCTTTTTAGATGTCTGCTGTCATTTCCCTCTCTTGCCCTGCCAGGGTGGGGCAGGTGGTATGGGGCTGCCGCCCTTTGCAGAGAACCCAGGGTGCCTAGGTGGCTCAGTCGGTCTGACTCAGGTCACGATCTCATGGTTCGTGAGTTCGAGCCCCACATCAGGCTCTGTGCTGACAGCTCAGAGCCTGGAGCCTGCCTCACGTGTGTATGTGTGTGTGTGTGTGTGTCTCTCTCTCTGCCCCTCCCCTGCTTGTGTGCTCGCTTGTGCTCGCTCTCTCTCTCTCTCTCAAAAATGAATAAACATTAAAAAAAATTAGAGGGGAGCCCAAGCTGCAGGATCAGGGACCTGTGTGCCCTCCTGGGGGTCCCACCCCTCCCCTGCAGCACCCTGGGTCTCAGCACATCTGCTTTGTAATTGTGCATGCACACCTCCCTGGTCACCTCCTTGACCCCATTCTCACAATGAGCTGCTGACTTTTCCAGGATGTCACCAAATACTGGTAAGTTTTGATCTGACCACATTTGGGGAGAAATCCAGAAGAGAGACAAATGGCATTTGATTATCATAATTAATATATTTCTCAGTTTTGAGCTCTTTAAAGCCAAATACTGTGGATGTTGGAGCGTAGAAGCCAGTCGAATTGACTGAATCTGAGATGTAGGAGAGCAGTTTACAGTGAAACCCTAAGGTAACAATCACCTGGTCCTTACCATGTGCCGAGCTCCTTCTGCGCTCCTAACAGAACTCATTTAATCTGAACAGTCCTGGGGGAGGCACCATCATCCTCATCTTCAGAGGAAGGAACTGAGGCACAGAAGAGTTAAGCTGGTTGTCTGCTTGTGATTGTGGGAGCCAGAGTTTGAGACCAGGCTGTCTGGTTCCAGAATGTTCTTAACCTTTGGATAGATGCGTCCATGTTCGCATCACTGCTTTAAGAACACGTGAACGAACTCATCAGCAATTTGGAGTTGCTCACGGTGGGCCAGGCTGGGTGCTGGCGATTTTTTAAAAATACGTGATTCTACTGAACTCTCAGCTGCAGGGCTGGAAAGGAGAGAATGCAGAGAGGATTGCCAGAGATGTCCGGCTTGCGCTCTGCAGCCATTCCGTAGCCCATTGGTTCTTTTTGTTCAGTCAGTCAGCACGCAAAACCTGGACCTTGAAACCATAGTGGTAGGCAGCCGACTCCCCCAGCCACCTCGGGCTCCCATTCTGAGTCTGCTTGTTCTTACTTTGCATATAGTTCTAACGTTTACTTACCGACTTCTGTACCTCAAACAAGTCCACAAGTAACACATTTCAAAGGAGAGCTGCTATAGGGAGGCATGTGAACATCAAGGAAAAGTGGCAGCCGGGAGTCATCAGCAGAGAGACTGGAACCACAAAAGCAGGTAGAACTCTTGCCTGTTGACAGTGACCCGTGTTCTGTGAGATATTCATCTGGCTGAAGCTCCATTGTGCCTAATTCAGCGAGCGGGCTTTGACTGTGTGGGTTTCTAGGCATGCTTCATTCACTGACGTGGAGAGTATCTTATAAATTGGCGCCGACCCTGCACCTTTTTATCAAGGGTCTGGTTACTGACCACAGAACCACCTGTGCTTTAGAAGAAAGGATTCGCGGATTGCTTTTCGAACAGTGCAGGTTTATGGTCATGCGTGATCGTAGCATTGCTGTGTTGAAAGGGGCGGTTGTGTCCCACCCCCAAAATTCATAGGTGGAAATGAGAAACATGTCACTGGAGAGTGGCGAAGAGACCATTTTTGTTATAAAGTGGCAAGGAACTTGGCTGAACTGCGTTCATGTTCTGGTGTTCTGTGGCAGGGAGAACTTGTGAATGATGGAATTGGATTTCTGGCTGAGGAATTTTTTTTAATAGTTTTTTTTTTAATGTTTATTTACTTAGCATGCATGCCAGCGTGTAAGCAGGGGAGGGCAGAGAGAGAGGGAGGGAGAGAGAGGATCCCAAGCAGACGCTGCACTGTCAGTGCAGAGCCTGACTGGGGGCTCGATCTCATGAACTATGAGATCATGACCTGAGCAGAAATGAAGAGTCAGGTGCTTCGACTGAGCCACCCAGGAGCCCCAATGTTTAGCTGAGAAATTTCTAAGCAAGGTGTTGAGGATGCAGCTTGGGTCCTCCTTAACTGCTTATAGTAAAATGTGACAAGGAGATGTGTTGCAGAAGGGAAAGGTCGTTAAGCAAAAGGGAATCCAAACTTGAAGGTTTGGAAAATTTTCAGCTTATCCATATAGCAAAAAA